AACGAACATTATGCGATACTAAAAACAATTTATTTTCGAGAAATGGTAGGTTATAAAAAGTGGTCTTTTATTCGAATACAAATTACAATGGTTATCATCGAATATCGAATGCCAACAACTCTCCATAAAACTTTTTATTGCAAACAATGCTACAATACATTTTATCGGACGTTCATAAAAAATTCCTTCAAATCGCCCGAGTGATTTATCGGTTATGACGAAACGTAGGTAAAACGAATTTGTTAATAAGCTAGTAACTGATTGGCAAATAAATAGGTTTAATGTACAAACGAGTCCTCTGTCGTTATTTATCAATTTAAACGTCGGTCAGGCGAAGAACTTAAAGGAAATTATTTTCGTCGACGATACATTCTCGAGCGCGACTAAAGTAAAACTTTTACGTATAAAAAATCTACCACGTAAGTAAACTGTACGGCATATTTTCAAAGACGGTAAGAAAGTATTCGAATCGGATACGTTTAAGTATTGCAGAATTCTGCACGTTCGTTGTAACGCAAAAGCTCTGGTTCCCTCTAATTTATCTTTGTGGAAATAGAACCTTTTCCTGTGCAAATGGCAGTGTCGAATGAGATAAACGTATGGCACAAATTATTCACAAGAGTTTTTTATACAATGTACGCGGACTGCAAAACGGCGAAATTACCCCGGGAGGTAATTTACGGACGGTGGTCTGTACCACGCACGGACTATTGGGTTTTCTAACTCGGCCGCTCCTTCTCGAATCTCGGCCCCGCATTGTTCGTAACTAATTTGTTTCGTCCGTGAGAACGGAAATGCTCTTTGTGGAATTCTATGCCAACGGTATAAAATGAGGAATTAAAAACGTAATTTCGTCCGTCAGCAGACGGGACAACACTGTCCTTCGGGCACCCTCGGATTTTTACATTGCGCCGGCGGACAGGCTCGAACTCTGCAAAGAACTTGAGTTTCCTGAAAAAAAATTTCATTGTAATTCGGTTAAACATCCGTTAACTATTCTAAGCCAATTAAGAAACATTTAAACAGAATTTGCTATTTCTCGTTATTAATTTATTCTGACTACTGCGCATTTATTAACCAAGAATGTTTTCAATAAAGCGCTAAACGAAACGGCGTTAAACTAGATCATTTTAACATAGAGTAAATAGGGAAATGGGAACAAGCAACTAAAAATAAACAGATTTTACTTTAAGTTATTTTTATATTAATTTGCAAAATAATATACGTTAAATAACACACGAACATATGCACAAAGAAATGTAAAGTCCATTTTTTGTGACGAAGGTCCTGACTTTTCTGAAATTCTTGTTTTTATGCAATAAAGTCGTGAAGTTTCATTCCTTTCCTTAAGCAAATGTCGGTAGCGGCAGATCGCATGCAAAACGCCTCGTCTCGCTTTTGCACTCCTTTCAAAATCTGGATTATTCGCTACAATTTGATCAACGATTTCGGAATCACTATTTTCCAGTTCTACACGAATTCCTTGTTCTGCTAGTTCTCCAAGGTGGTCGTTGGTAAGGTTCTCACCACAAACCTACAGTAACTGCTCAATATCCCGCTCGTCCACATCTCCTAGTCCGGCTGTATCGATTAGGTTGACAATTTGATCAACCTAACGATACAGCGATATGCTCTTGTCGAGAATTCTTGGATAAAATCAGCCACGCTTCTTCCGCACTTCGTTCGTGCAGTTATCAGTTAATTCTTGACAAGCGAAATCGATGTTGCCTATGGCATTCGTGATGTTATATTTTTTCCAAAATTGCACCAAACAAACATCGATTTAAGGGAAGTATAGCGCTACGACGAATTACCACCTTTTACTGATTAGTTTGTGTTTGGGAATAATCGAATCAATGAAATGCCGCGATAATTTGAATCGGTGTAAATTTTGAGCTTTTTTTTAAGGCTTCCAGCAGATCGCGTTATATCGGATCAGCGTTAAGAAGAGGCATACTGTACTTTTAATGATTTATTTACATGATGAAAATAATAGATTATTAGATACTACCAATCTCAACACCTTTTCTCTTTCAGCAAAATAAATTAACCAACTAATGCTTTTGGTTGTGTTAAAATTAAACAGTCCCTATCAACTTAATAAAACACTTCAATAATAATTTTAAACACGATGGAACATAACTGTGATTGGTTATGCATTAGCATCTTTAAAGACATAATTCTGTGCATGTGTATGCAATGATACATGTAAGTCAATCAGAGTTATGTCCGTCACATTTAAAATTGTTATTTGAGTGTTCTATTAACCTGATGATGACTGTTTAACAATGCCGAAATCATTAGTTTGTTAAAGTTTATTTTGCCAGAATTGTAAAAGTTGGTAGTACTTAGTTTCCTTCCAGTAACCCTTGATATAAATTATCATGTCTAACGAGGAAAGGACACGACTGGCTACCATCAATTTTGATCAGCTTGGATATGGTGAAACCACATCAAAAGTGAGTGGATATATATGTGAGCTTTTTGTCCAATGTGCTTTGCAAATATTAGATTTTGATGTTTGTATTTTCAGATTTTTAGCATATAGTTATAAGCTGTGATGGAACGTATATTCGAGCAATGCGTAGCATCGTGGTTTTTAAAAGGTGCCAACAAGCTATAGTTCTAGTTTCAAATTCACAATTTTTTTCTTTTATTATTTATGTAATGTTTACCTAATAATAAAATAAAATCATTTTTGTATTTGCATATTTAATGAAATACTTGTATGAATAATAGAAAAGACATTGACATGTTTACCACTCATTTTAATTTTTAAATGTATTTATTATGATGGCTTATAATGATACATATCATAAAAACATAACATTTTAATTGTCTTATTTTTTAAATGGGAGGAAAACATATCTAGTTTATGTTGTTAAATGTTCATTGCCTAATTAGTTTGAAGGATGCATGCATATTTTATCGTATCCTTGAAAACTGAAAGGAATAAAGGAATGGATTTTTATCTCATCTTCCCTAGGATAGCTGACATTTATTTTGCAACTATTGTCAGTTCTTGCTTCTGATCTTACTTCAAAATGAAAACAAAACTGCTAGAAATATGAAGGTTAGTATGACATTTCAATTATTTATACAAATATTTTATTAAACATGCAAATACAAAAATTATGTTATTTTTTTATTTGGTAAAAATTATACATAAGCGACACAAAAAAATCAGTTCCAGTTTCAANAGTTTGGCCGAATATTCGGTTTTCGTTACAACACTATGTAAAACCTAATAAAATAAAACGAACGTCCACGAAGCTCAGCCCCCTCCCGTAAAGCATTATTATAGTTAATTTTATCGCGAATTAAATGTTTCTTAGCCTTTTTTTTCAAGTAGGACTCTGTTTCGGGGTCCTTCTAATACTTTTCTGGTTGGGTCCGCGAGTTTCGTCCGCAATCCAACGGAGGGCATTCGAGAACGGGTAAACGTAGTCCTCCGCAGTTTTGGCCAGGCGACGAAATTTGAAATAAATCTTAGGTCTCACAGAGGTAAAGTATTGTCCGGTTGACAAACGGCGCATTTTTTAATTAGTGAAACGAACATTATGCGATACTAAAAACAATTTATTTTCGAGAAATGGTAGGTTATAAAAAGTGGTCTTTTATTCGAATACAAATTACAATGGTTATCATCGAATATCGAATGCCAACAACTCTCCATAAAACTTTTTATTGCAAACAATGCTACAATACATTTTATCGGACGTTCATAAAAAATTCCTTCAAATCGCCCGAGTGATTTATCGGTTATGACGAAACGTAGGTAAAACGAATTTGTTAATAAGCTAGTAACTGATTGGCAAATAAATAGGTTTAATGTACAAACGAGTCCTCTGTCGTTATTTATCAATTTAAACGTCGGTCAGGCGAAGAACTTAAAGGAAATTATTTTCGTCGACGATACATTCTCGAGCGCGACTAAAGTAAAACTTTTACGTATAAAAAATCTACCACGTAAGTAAACTGTACGGCATATTTTCAAAGACGGTAAGAAAGTATTCGAATCGGATACGTTTAAGTATTGCAGAATTCTGCACGTTCGTTGTAACGCAAAAGCTCTGGTTCCCTCTAATTTATCTTTGTGGAAATAGAACCTTTTCCTGTGCAAATGGCAGTGTCGAATGAGATAAACGTATGGCACAAATTATTCACAAGAGTTTTTTATACAATGTACGCGGACTGCAAAACGGCGAAATTACCCCGGGAGGTAATTTACGGACGGTGGTCTGTACCACGCACGGACTATTGGGTTTTCTAACTCGGCCGCTCCTTCTCGAATCTCGGCCCCGCATTGTTCGTAACTAATTTGTTTCGTCCGTGAGAACGGAAATGCTCTTTGTGGAATTCTATGCCAACGGTATAAAATGAGGAATTAAAAACGTAATTTCGTCCGTCAGCAGACGGGACAACACTGTCCTTCGGGCACCCTCGGGTTTTTACATTGCGCCGGCGGACAGGCTCGAACTCTGCAAAGAACTTGCGTTTCCTGAAAAAAAAATTTCATTGTAATTCGGTTAAACATCCGTTAACTATTCTAAGCCAATTAAGAAACATTTAAACAGAATTTGCTATTTCTCGTTATTAATTTATTCTGGCTACTGCGCATTTATTAATCAAGAATGTTTTCAATAAAGCGCTAAACGAAACGGCGTTAAACTAGATCATTTTAACATAGAGTAAATAGGGAAATGGGAACAAGCAACTAAAAATAAACAGATTTTACTTTAAGTTATTTTTATATTAATTTGCAAAATAATATACGTTAAATAACACACGAACATATGCACACAGAAATGTAAAGTCCATTTTTTGTGACGAAGGTCCTGACTTTTCTGAAATTCTTGTTTTTATGCAATAAAGTCGTGAAGTTTCATTCCTTTCCTTAAGCAAATGTCGGTAGCGGCAGATCGCATGCAAAACGCCTCGTCTCGCTTTTGCACTCCTTTCAAAATCTGGATTATTCGCTACAATTTGATCAACGATTTCGGAATCACTATTTTCCAGTTCTACACGAATTCCTTGTTCTGCTAGTTCTCCAAGGTGGTCGTTGGTAAGGTTCTCACCACAAACCTACAGTAACTGCTCAATATCCCGCTCGTCCACATCTCCTAGTCCGGCTGTATCGATTAGGTTGACAATTTGATCAACCTAACGATACAGCGATATGCTCTTGTCGAGAATTCTTGGATAAAATCAGCCACGCTTCTTCCGCACTTCGTTCGTGCAGTTATCAGTTAATTCTTGACAAGCGAAATCGATGTTGCCTATGGCATTCGTGATGTTATATTTTTTCCAAAATTGCACCAAACAAACATCGATTTAAGGGAAGTATAGCGCTACGACGAATTACCACCTTTTACTGATTAGTTTGTGTTTGGGAATAATCGAATCAATGAAATGCCGCGATAATTTGAATCGGTGTAAATTTTGAGCTTTTTTTTAAGGCTTCCAGCAGATCGCGTTATATCGGATCAGCGTTAAGAAGAGGCATACTGTACTTTTAATGATTTATTTACATGATGAAAATAATAGATTATTAGATACTACCAATCTCAACACCTTTTCTCTTTCAGCAAAATAAATTAACCAACTAATGCTTTTGGTTGTGTTAAAATTAAACAGTCCCTATCAACTTAATAAAACACTTCAATAATAATTTTAAACACGATGGAACATAACTGTGATTGGTTATGCATTAGCATCTTTAAAGACATAATTCTGTGCATGTGTATGCAATGATACATGTAAGTCAATCAGAGTTATGTCCGTCACATTTAAAATTGTTATTTGAGTGTTCTATTAACCTGATGATGACTGTTTAACAATGCCGAAATCATTAGTTTGTTAAAGTTTATTTTGCCAGAATTGTAAAAGTTGGTAGTACTTAGTTTCCTTCCAGTAACCCTTGATATAAATTATCATGTCTAAGGAGGAAAGGACACGACTGGCTACCATCAATTTTGATCAGCTTGGATATGGTGAAACCACATCAAAAGTGAGTGGATATATATGTGAGCTTTTTGTCCAATGTGCTTTGCAAATATTAGATTTTGATGTTTGTATTTTCAGATTTTTAGCATATAGTTATAAGCTGTGATGGAACGCATATTCGAGCAATGCGTAGCATCGTGGTTTTTAAAAGGTGCCAACAAGCTATAGTTCTAGTTTCAAATTCACAATTTTTTTCTTTTATTATTTATGTAATGTTTACCTAATAATAAAATAAAATCATTTTTGTATTTGCATATTTAATGAAATACTTGTATGAATAATAGAAAAGACATTGACATGTTTACCACTCATTTTAATTTTTAAATGTATTTATTATGATGGCTTATAATGATACATATCATAAAAACATAACATTTTAATTGTCTTATTTTTTAAATGGGAGGAAAACATATCTAGTTTATGTTGTTAAATGTTCATTGCCTAATTAGTTTGAAGGATGCATGCATATTTTATCGTATCCTTGAAAACTGAAAGGAATAAAGGAATGGATTTTTATCTCATCTTCCCTAGGATAGCTGACATTTATTTTGCAACTATTGTCAGTTCTTGCTTCTGATCTTACTTCAAAATGAAAACAAAACTGCTAGAAATATGAAGGTTAGCATGACATTTCAATTATTTATACAAATATTTTATTAAACATGCAAATACAAAAATTATGTTATTTTTTTATTTGGTAAAAATTATACATAAGCGACACAAAAAAATCAGTTCCAGTTTCAAGTCTACATATTTTGTCGGCATCAATTAACAATGCTTTAACAAATAACACTACGTAATGCTCTCTTAAATATGCCTTCCATTGCAGCTTATAACCATATGCTATAAATCTTTATTATCTTTTGGATAACTGAATTCTGCAAAGCGTTTGGTGCGATACTGAAGGTGTGCAATTGTATTAAGTACTGGTGTATTTCCACATTCTGAAAAAATAAAAGGAAAAAGCTGAAATTCCATAAAGAACATTTCAAAATTTTGTAAATTTTGAATTACAGTTATTGTTATATTAGAATAAAAAATCTATACTGAAAAGAGGACAATCACAAAATTTTGAATAATATATTTTTAATGACAGTTTAATGTTATAAATATGAAAATGATTCAAGTGCTTTCATCACAAATTTACATAGTAGATGTTTTTAAAAGCTTTAATAATATAAAATTATTAGTTCCTGTTCTCAATATAATTTTAAATATTTTCTATATAGATTCTGGGAGTAAATTTGATAGCCATACAAAAATTACAAACTGCACTCCTCAACTATAAACTGCACTCCTCAATATTAAAAATAGCATTATACACACAGTCACATTAAAATAATTGTAACTATCAATAACTGTGTTAAATTTATTCATATGCATCAGTGGTTCTCAAATTGAGGTATATAATAATTTTCTGGAGAGATATGAAATAATAGTCATTATTAGTATTGTTATTTATTTTCTAGTACTGCTTGATGTTCTGTCCACTACTTTCAATGCAATATAACATTAATGTGATAAACTGAAAGTGATTTTAATTTCATTAAAATTATTACATTATGATTTTTTAATACAATATAGTCATTTACAACCTCAGAACTTAATTTCATTTTACAGTAAGAATCTCTGTAGGCTGTTTTATGATACTTTTGTTAATTTTATTAGATTTTTGATAATATGCAAAGATGTTGAAATGTGATAAACTGAAATATATAAAAGGTGTAGAGAGCACAAGAGCTTTTCCTACAAATAGGGAATATATCTTTAATATCCCCTCTTTTTGTAGGGAAAAAGACTGAAAAGTCATTACATTTATCAGGATGTCTACAAAACTTAAAAAGTGATTCTCTTGACACTTTCACAACATAACAAAACTTTTACATAGTTATGCTACAATGAAAAATAGTACATGAAAGTAATTTGTTAATAGGTCGCTCTTTAAATGAATATCAGAGTGATCTAAAGGATAAGGAGGCACAGATGGCATTTCCTTCTTATTTTAATGGTTAAAAAGTTACAAATTAGTGGAGCAATACACCCACTGTCTTTTTGATATAGTTCTTGGTATAATATAACCAAACATTGTAATCATGATTTATTAAATTGCATACTTTATTCATATTAATAATAATAATATTATTATTATTAATTACTTAGTCCATAAATAAATGATAATTTTTAGTATATATGCTTAAAGTTGATATGAACAGAGTAATGAACTAACTATAATCAGCAATAAATTATCAATGCAATTTTAGAAAAATATTAACTATATATAACTAAATTTTACAAATACAGTATATATTTGCTTAGTTATTTGATAACATACTAAAATAATAAATTAATAAGAGATAACTATAATCTAACTGTAGTTAATTAAATGAATTCCATCATACACTCTTAAAGAATACTTAACTTTATTTTTATTTAACAGTACAAAGTAGACTCTTGATAAAACAAACTCCCTTAACTCAAATTTTGTCCTGACATAGCTCCCATAGACTCATTGCATTCTGTGTTTCTATAAGATACAGAGACCGTTTCCTGTCTAATTTTGTGTGCTTTTTTTGCATTTTCAAGGAAATGGACAATTAGCATTGGATTTCATACAATACTACTCTTCACAAAGCTGAAAATTAGTATTGTATGAAATTAAAATAATCAAGTAGATGAAAACATTTGAAGCCAAATTAATCATGCTAAATTCGTATAGTTTTCATAGTTTATGAAATTCCATTAGGTTTTTTTTCTCAATCTAAAACTTCACTCTATCTAAATCTCTATCTCTTATCTAAATCTCTATCTAAATCTATCTCAATCTATCACTCAATCTAAAACTTCACAAATCCAAGTACAAAGTTCATATATTTTAACAACATTAATTTAAACAGAAATTGTTGGTGATGAAAGCATTACGAATAAAGATATGAAATTAGTAAATATGATGAGAAAACTAAGCTAGTTGTACTTTATATCTACAATACTGATGTTACAGTTTCCACAACAGAATTTTTAAGTCAATTTCAGATTTTACAGCACAGATAGTTAAAAATGGTCTAAACCATGAGTGACCCAAGTATGGCCCGCGAGGTCAGTTTATCCTGCCTGTGCCACAAATTGCATTGCATTGCACTGTGCCACAAATGAGCTAAAATATAATTATTTATATGAAAATATCATAGATTGTAGATAAACTTACTATATAAAAAAATTAAAATAAGTGTAAGTAAAAATGCCAAAAATGGTCTAATCAGAGTTTATCACAAGTGATATTAGAACATTCACCATCATAGATGTTGTATCAACAATATGACTTAGTATGAGTTTTCCTCCCCATATACANAAAATATAATTATTTATATGAAAATATCATAGATTGTAGATAAACTTACTATATAAAAAAATTAAAATAAGTGTAAGTAAATATGCCAAAATTGGTCCAATATGATTTTAGTATCTGACAGTAATATAATTTTTAAATAAATTGGTGAAATAAAAAATTTGGCAACACTTTGCGACTTTGGATATCAGAGTACTTTTTGTATAAATATCAGTACCTGCAATGAAGTTTCTAAGAAAAGCAATTATAAGCTTGCTGCAGCAATCATGTTTGTGTATTAGTAAATAAATATGTTGGTTGTCTTTATTTTTTTGCGTATTCAGTGTGCTGTATTGAACAAAATGGTTATGCGGCCCATGCTTGTCATTCTCTCTGTTATCTGACCTGCTGTAAGAAAAGTTTCGTGACTCCTGGTCTAAACCATAAAAAAAATTGCATGATGATTCAGAAAATAATCAAATGATTTTTCACAAATCTGCAACACTGTTTACAAAATATGAGTATATACATTATGTTTGTTTATTTATTCTTTAAAGATTTAAAAGAAAAAGGAGAGAGAAGTAAAAAATGCAAAAAAAATAAAAGTTTAAAACCACCTTGAAGAATTTCCAAAGTCAGAAGCTCAATAAGAAGATGGTCGAGGCAGGTAAGGTGTTGGCCTACCACTCTGGGATTTTGGGATTGAGTCTGGGACAAGCAACTTGCCAGTAATTTGTCACGGGCAGTCCTGTCCTTTCCTGGTCCTGTCTCTCACTACCCAAAAACCCCATAATGGATATGGAAAAAATGGCCCTCTTAGTGCAACAAGGCAGAAGATCAAAAAAATAAAAAATTTTAAACTTTACTATAAATATACATAATATTTCACTTAAACTTTCTAAGTATTTGGTTTATTTATTTCTGTTTAAATAAATCTTTGTTATTAATTGGATAATCTTTACAGTCTCAATGTTTTCACAATGCAATAATCAGCAAATAAGAAAGCATAGATGATAGAGCTTTTTCTAATAGGCTGAAAAAGTCAGTTTAGACACACAATTTCTGAAAACAGCAAAATTATTAGTTTTATTAACAACTGCAGTGCACATATGACAATTCATACTCTGAAAGCTGTAACAGTTCAATTTTTATTACCTAACACAACTTTCAGATCAACAAATTATTCAGAGCTTGTTATACAAAAATGTTTCATATTGTCAAAGATGCAAATCATGTAGTTTGGAGTAAACCTGTTAGATGAAATGCAAGTGGCAGTTTGGAATGAAATTTCACAAAGTGCCATTGCAAATTTCTTTACAAAAACAGGTTTCGGTCAATAATTTGACACTGAATAAATAAGTTTTCCATCGGACTCTTCCAACTACATTGAAGAAGACTGAGTCAATCTCATTAACAATGAGTAATGAAAAAATGTCATTAAAAGATTTATCAATGCTGATAAATGCCCACAGACAGCTACGTCATTATTTGGAGACATTATTATTGCCAAAGTAAAGAACCAAGTAATGAAGATGAGAAAGAAATAAATCCTGTATAGAGTAAATAATAAACTCTCCCTACATGTAGGGAAGCCAGAAAAGCTCTCAAGCTTTTAAGGGGCTTTCTACATCATTCAGTAAACGAGGTGCTTTTGAAGTAGTTAACCTTATCAAATATTGTTTAGCAACAAATGAATCAACAACAACAAACTTTTGTAACACTTTTTTGACTAATAATGTCAATGTTTTATTTTATACATATATGCATCTATAGAATAATAAAATTTAATACAGTTGAACCAGTCTATCTCAAAAACATCTTGAAATTTATTTTTTTCCCTGCATTTTCAGCTTAAATTCAATGTATTTTCCATGTTTATCTCAAATACAGATTTTTTTCCCAAAGTCTCTATACGTCAAATTGTGGACTGAAGTGTCAAATTCAAAGCTCAGTGACTACATTTTGATAGCATAAATTACAGTTTAGAAACTCTCTTGCAATATAGTACATAGTTGCATACTGCTTTTCTCTGATTGGCTACGAGTTTGGCTTGAGTTTTATTGGTTAAAGAAAGTCAAGCATTTAAAACTATTGACAAATTATTTTTCGATATAATTTGTCAATAGTTTTCAATGCCCGACTTTATGTTAGCTTACGTCAAAAATGTTTTATTTAACTTTATTTATGCCTAATACAGGTATGTACTGTACTTACTATTGTATTAATAAAATACAATTGCATATACAGTAACTCCAATCAAACCTATTACTGCTTACTGTATAAGAACCTATATATTTTGAAACCTGTCTATCTCAAATTTTTTTCTCATTCCTGTGAGATTCAAGATAGACATGTTTAACTGTATAGTTAAGTCTAGGTTGTTCATATTGTTATATTTATGATCTGATTAAAATAATGTAATTTTTGTAACTCAGTTTTGTTAGTGCAAAGTGCATGGGATAGAAAAAAATTTGAGTTATCAAGAGTCTATTGTATACATCTAGCAAAGAACTTTCATGTAGATGCCAGTGATCTTTATAGTTGAGTGCCATTTCTAATCTTCAAATATAATGTTTAGAATTATTAAAAAAAAAATTGATTCTGAGATTTTTCATGACATATTCCCTTTTCAGACTACAGACATTTTACTTATGTATTTCAGAGAAGCAACATTTGAAATTCTTACATAAAACAAATATCTGATAGAATGTTATTTTTATTTAAAGTAATAAAAATTTATCCAAAAGATATATAAAAATTTTAAGGACAGTTTTTAGGATTATCAGAAAATAATGACCAATTTTTTGAACATTTATATCATGAAAAAAATGACAATGTTTTCTGCATATACTGTATTTACCAATTGAAATATTTCAAATTCTGAATGTCATGAGACCAAGAAAATTTGAATACTGTACAAAATATTATATAACCCATTGCAGATGTCAAATACTGTTATTAGAACATATTTGTTGGAAGTTTGTAATTTATCAAAGATTCTGCTGCATGACTGATAAAGTACAACTAGTGTAATCAATTCCAACCTTGTAATTCTTGGCCAGATAATTCACATACATAGCAGCTTTACAGAAATACTCTTCATGTGATATAATGTAAAACATTGATAACCAATGTTGTCTGAAGATGATAAATATTACATACATTATACTGTTAGTTATATTTAATAAGACTAATGTTAAAATCAAATTTAGCAGATATAGAATGATTACATAAATAAATATTAAAATATAGTATCGTTTTCTGTTTTTCCTCATAAATCTACTTTAGTTGAAAATTTAAATGACTTATTTTTTCTTCAATAATACAATTTTGTAAAATAAAAAAAATCACTTTTTATGCAGAGTGCTATTATAAAAAAAAATTGGAGTTTTATTGCATTTGATAAGCTATCTGCAAAAATTTAGTATCAAAAGGGCAGTATCTTACATATTAGATATACAGTCGACCCCCCTATAACGTACGTTCCTATAACGTAGCGAAAAAATTGTAGAAACTTTCGTATAACGTACCTCCTATAACGTCGTTTCGCGAGAAGATTGATAGAGTCTGGACCAATAGTGGATGAGCAGCCGAACTACTTACCTCCGACCCTGCGCCACGCTACGGAGCGGCTAAATTGAGTTTGCTATCGTCTGTTTAGTATTATATATAAATTAGGTACTGTACATATAATTATATATTAATTATATATAAATTAGGTACTGTATATATAATTATATATTAACTTAATTTATTGTAACTTTATTATAATTATATATATGCTTTCTGCCGCCTGGCAACACGCTACGGAGATTTTAGGCTAGTAAGTTGAGTTTATTATCGTCTGCACAGTATGTAAATTAGGTACCGTAAGTCTAATACAGCACTAATTTTATACATTTCTTGTGAAAGAAACACTTCTTATTCAACGGCCATAAAAATTATTTATATTAATGATGTCTCCAAAGGTCAAGTTATTTTTCCGCCAAAAATTCGTTATCAGAAATTGCGGCCGTCGTTTCGCGTGCTGTTCCGCGATGAAAACCAGCTTTAAGCAACGGCGTAGTCGAACGGTGTAAGTAATCCTACAATTTTTTGTTTATAGCATAGTTTATACAGATTATTCCCAAAAAATTATACGTATTTTGGAAATGTTGAGTGGAATTAGTCTAGAATCGGTTAATTTTATAGAAGAAAACCTTTCGAACAGCCTTAGTCTGTAAAGTTCCCACCTATCGGGCTGCGATTGGCTCATGTATTTAATCGTTCCTAAAACATAACTTTCAGTTAGCGTGGAACGTATCTAAGCGTTATAGGGGGGTCTACTGTATCTGATATTATGCCTGATGACTTGCTGACACAAAGATTATCAATGTTATGACAAATTATTGATATTTTTTAAAATTTTGTTACTTTCTAATCTTAAGATATATAAGTTACAAAACCTAGTACAAAAAAAAGGATGAAGTCAATTCATTACAGCTTTTCTCTATGGTACATTCTTTTTAATCATGTGCATTATGATATTTGGTAAATATATTTAATAAACTGTGTCAATTTGTATCAAGCTATAAAAAAGAACATATTAATTCATTGTATCTTTATATTCTAGTCATTCCTGATATATTAAATATAAAATACATTTACCATTACAACATTCTTTCCAAATATTTAAGTTAATTTTTGGAAGTGCAGAGCATGCTACAGTTTCAGGACTTTGGCGCTGAGGAATGATAAAAACGTCTTGTGTAACCTGCGTAATGTTATCTCCATTATCGCACATTACTCTTCCTAACGAACTCTGTTTAATTTGGACCAATTGTTCTGTCGTAAATATCCCCGGATTCTCGTACCAGAATCTGTAAAGAATAATTAAAATACCGTAATGGTTTGCAAAGAATGATATTTACAGAGATTGGCCAAATGAAACTGTTTAAGTGTTTTTTAGTTAATTATTTGTTTAAATAAGCTATCAACACTGACAACGCTGTTATTTTTATTACTTATAAAGCACTAACTTGGCATATGTGTTTTCAAAATTTAGTCCTTTCCATTACAAAATTTTTTCCCATCTGCCTGCACTCGAGTGTCATTTCCATACCCTACGATAGCATACGATGAATTAGTGTAAAAACACTCGTTGGCTGATACTTTGTGTTAAGTTTATTTAATGCCGTCTTACCTGTCGCCTTCTCTTAGTCTTTTGAATTGGTCGACTATCAGACAGCGAAACGTTGGGCCAAACTTAGCACCGTCAACGGGATCCTCACTCACTCCACCGACCCATAAGTCGATATTTCCTGGTAAAAAAAAAAACTCATTAACAAAAATTCAGTCAATTTTTTTGTTTTAAAAAAACTTATCCAATATGTAACTGTTAAAATGCAAAAATACATTCCATATTTATATATTTTAAAGAAGTTTTATCTAATTTTAATGCTTTAAGAACAATCAATATCAAATATTGAATGTATTCTCATTTCCCCATTATATTGAATGTATTCTCATTTCCCATGTTATAAAAAAAACTGCACTTGAAATTATTATATAATATAAATTGATTGTGTAACCATAATAGAATAATAATTGATAAAAAAAAAAATGTAGTTTTATTTGCACTTTATCTTTGAGGATAGATGACAGTGGAGGAGAGGGAGAAGGGAAATAATACTAAAGCTTAACTTAATATTGTTACATTATGTTATGTAAGTTAAGCTTTAGTATTATTTCCCTTCTCCCTCTCCTCCACTGTTGTCTGTCCACAT